TTCATGGGTTTGAGCCCCATGTCGGGCTCTGTGCTGACAGCTCAGAGCCTGAAGCCTGTTTCAGATTCTGTCTCCTTCTCTCTCTGCCTCTCTCTCTCTCTGAAATAAACATTAAAAATTAAAAAAAAAAAGTTGTTTAAGGTGAGAGGATAACACCGGTCCTATGATTCCATCATGGTTGAAATGTTTCATTGTTGGGATTTTGATTGAAACTGATGGGAAAAAATGATCTTATATTATTGAGTCTTTCCTTTTAGGAACATGGGGTATTGATTTAGACTTTCTTTTAATTTCTTCAGTGGCTTCTGCGGTCTTCCACATTCACTTTGCTGTTGCCTTTAAAAAGGCCCCTATAGAGTCTTCCTTCACTTCTCTCTTAGCATCTTGTTTATACCCTGTAGCAACGCAGGGACAGGGTTTCAGCAAGACCCTGGGGCCTCTGCTTCTTCCCACCTGTAGATCGAAGAGGCTCTGTGACTTGATCTTAGGGGTTGGCTTCATCCCAGCTGCCTCTTTCAAGATGGCAGAGCAGTACTGAGCAGCTCTGGACTGGGGCCTGGGGTGTGGATGGGCAAACCCTAGAAGCATCCCTCCTGGAACCGCCAGGTAGAAACTGGCTTATTAGAGCTGCTTTGTTTTGGCATGGCTTACCTGAAGCCTTTTTCTGCTTTTATCTACAGTTGAGCGTGGATGTACTCCGAGAAGTAAAAACCTTAAGATCGAATTGATGGTCTCTCGGGGGTGCTACCTTCTGTGTCTGGTTGTCCATCTATCTTGTTTATACTCTAGGCCTCTTTGTTGGTGGTTACGAATGCACAGGAACAAATCAACTCTAATAATATCTCTGGGATAAACAAGCCTTTGTAGGCTAGTTGGGGAAGTTGGGGATGTTGTGTTCTAAATATCAAACAACCAATTTAGAAGCAAATTTGAAACATGATTCCTTTCTAAGTTGGGAACTATCTGTTTTTATAAAATCTATCTCTCGCCATAATAACAGTAACAAAATGAGGAGACCTTAACAGACTGGGGTTGACACCAGATGGGTAAACACCCATCATAAGTGATGAGTTGGTTAATTATAGCTGTGCCCTGTTTATAGACCTTCGATTAATCTCTTGAGTGTATGTAACTCCATCACCCACAACGTCTCAGAGCATCTGAGCAGGACTTTCCAGAGGTCAGGCCTCTCCATTAACTCAGAATGAATGTCTTAAGAATCGAAGGGCTAGGTGGAATTTAGCTTACTTCTTTTCATTATTCTCTGTAGGGATCAGCTCATACAAAGCATCAGAGACATGACAAGGCAAATGGAAATGGCAGGGAGGAGTTTTTGAAGTACTTACTATATTCACAGAACCTCCACCCTCATACTTAGCAAAATAGTGATATGTCTGTAACGCCCAGCTCTCTAGAATGTGGGTGTATTCAGACTTCCCAAGATGGTGAGTTCACCTGTGCCTCACCTGAACGTCAGTCCACTCCCTGACCTCTTTATCGGTACAAACAGTATCATTCTCACAAAAAGTGCAATATACCGGGACACTCTGGAGACCCAACTCATTCCCAGTGTGGATCACGCTAGTTCAGAGCAGGTCGCCTGCTGGGTCTACATTGCCTGGGCTCCCTGTAGACCAGTGGGTGCACATTAGGCTCACTTGCCAAACTTTTCATAGTACCATGCCCACCCAGACCAAACAAATCAGAGGCTCTGGTCTGGGCCTCAGGCATCGCTGTTTTAAATTCTCCAGGTCAGTCCTTGGTGCAACCCAGCTTGAGAACCACGGCCTATAGACTAAGAGTGGTTGTGGCCACTGTGCCAATTTTTAACACCAGAAGCATCCGTGCAGAGTAGATTGTAATTCATTCTATAAAGCAGTAGTAAGCTTTCTGGTCTTCCCAAGGATGTTGCCAAGTGGAAAACTTGCCTGTTTCTCCAGTAGGGGGTCGAGGGGAGTGGGAGGAGACACAAGAGAGGAGAACGGGGAGAGAGAAAATGAGAGGAGGTGAGGGAGTCATAGCTACATAATTTTTGAATCTTTCTTCTCCCTGTGGCCACATCCTTGTTCAGGTTATCATCTCTCCAGTCCTGCTCCCCTCTCCCTATCTCCTACTGGCACTGATCTCATTATTTCTCCCAAATAATGTCTCTCAAACATGTCTCTCCCTTTATAATCCCCTTCAATAGCTCCCTGTCCAGAACAAAGCTCAGTGTCCTCCTCTGGGTGCCCAGAGCTTTTCACGACTAGTCTGGGGAGAGTTGTTACTCAAGCCTAAAGACCCCTGAATGAGCACTGTTGTCTGTAGCTTCTAATCTTTGCATGGACAGTTTGTACTTCACCCCCATCTGCCAGAAGGCCCCCTTCATGGCTCTTCTCTCCACATTCTTCCCATCTCCCACTCCCCGCCCCCCCCCCCCAGGTCTCCACTGCTTCTGTGCCAGGGCACTACCCAAATAATCCGTCTATAGGTCTGGCATAGGGGTGCTCAAAAAAGGTGGGCGGGGGTGCCTGGGTGGCTCAGTCGGTTAAGCATCCAGCTTCAGCTTAGGTCATGATCTTGTAGATTGTTGAGTTCAAGCCCCACATCAGAGCTCTGTGCTGACTGCGTGGGGAGTGCTTGGGATTCTCTCTCCCTCTGCCCCTCCCCTGCGCATGCAAAATTTAAAAAAAAAAAAAAATTTTTTTTTAAGTGTGCAGGGATGCCTGGATGGCTCATTTGGTTAAGCGTCATGACTTCAGCTCAGGTCATGATCTTGTGGTTCATGAGTTCAAGCCCCAAATCAAGCTCTGTGCTGACAGCTCAGAGCCTGGAGCCTGCTTTGGATTCTGTGTCTCCCTCTCTCTCTGCCCCTCCTTTGCTTTTATTCTGTCTCTCTCTCAAAAATAGAACATTTAAAAAACTAAGAAAAAAGTGTGCAAATGTCATTTATGACATTATCAAAATCATAAGTCTGTCTTCCCTATTAGGTTCTGAACTTTCTCTAAGTGTAATGGGTAACATGGTATATGTAGTAGAAAAAGCAAAGCTTTTGGAGGTGGATTTGGGTTTAAAATGCTGCTCTCTACTTACTAGCTGTAGGATCTTGGGGAAGTTCAATGGTTTCCTCAGCTATAACGTGAGTCGACTACTTGAAGGGCTGTGAAGACAAGACATGACGTGTGTGATGGCAGATACATAGCAAATGAACAGAAAAAAATTTTTTTCTCCTTGACTCCAAATTACTCACAGTTTACCGGATACACTGCAAAATTCAGGAGTTAACCTCAGCAGGAAGCTTTTGTTTTGGATTGCAGGCTTCTGAATGGCCACATGGCTCAATTCTATACAAGTGAAATGCTTGTTAGAAGATTGGAAAACACCCTCCCTTCTCCCACCTTAGCGATCACGGGCATATTATAACTATTACCTTGTTAATCCCCCAACTAGTCCTTTGAATTATGAATCCTACGATAGCCAAGAAAACTGGGGTAATGAGAAGATAAGGGATGTGCTTTCCCAAGGATAGCCAGGCTTTTCGATGCCTGTCTGCTGACCCTCAGCTCTGGCCCCTCTCCTAGATGCCACTTTGCCCTCATGCTCAGCCTTATGATTGCATGCTTTTAAATGCAACCACTTAATTTTAAACCTTAGAACACATCAATGATGATTGTTTTGAGAGCAAAGTTAAAGTAGTAATTTTAATTTAAAAAAACAAAATATTGTATCTTGCCGACTGCTTTTAGCCCACAGCTTGGTCCGCCACAGCCTCTCCAAGCTTTGGTTCCTACGTCTCTAACGTGAGAAGGAGAAGTGACCATGCCTGATGGGAACATGAGGCTGAAGGAGTTAATACACGAACTCCTCATGCACGCGGAGGAGGGGCAGCACGTGGAGATGCTTGGCTTTCATCCCCACCACGGCTGCCACGGCGGTCTGGGCTCAGAACAGTACCACCTGGACCCTTACGTTGTCCCTCAACATGGTCGATTATAGGAAAGAAGAACATAAAGAAAACAGTCACTCTTTAATGTTCTTGCTTAACTGAGAACTCTAAAAGAAAAAAAGGCACTGTAAAGACAAATAAAAAGTAACTTTATTGACTGCTAATCTTACCATGAAATGCCTATAAGAAATCATTACAAAATAATGCAGTTTTCTTTTACATACTTTTGGTATTTTCCTGATATGATGATCCTTTCACAGAAAGGATTGTTTACAGTTTATGTAGATATAAAGCTCATTGTTGCAAATACAAATGTCGCTGTATAGAGGCAATATATACCAAACTGGTATACTGACTAGCGATGATATTAACAAATGCAGAATAAATAACAGCTTCATATGTTTCTTTTCCTTTTTTATTTTTTAAAACAATTTCCAAATACAAAATGTAGATAACCAAAATGGATTTTCATATACATATATATAATTCTGCTGCAAAGAGAGGATCAAGAAGCAAAAATGTTCCCTAGCATGTTTCATTTTTGAAAACCCACAAGACTATTCATAAACCCAATTAGAAAGAGAGTGTGCAAACCCACCAACAATGCTGGCGAAACCCTGAAGACCTGATTCCGGTTGAAGGACAGAGAAAATAAAGCGCTCCATACTTAATTAAATAAGCTTTTGCCTCGGTGTTTGCAAGAAACACTAAGAGCCGAGGAAATGCACCGCATTATGATCTGGGCTCTTGAGAGTTAAACTTCCTAGGATGTGTCTCTGAAGCATCTGTAAGAAATGGAGGCCTATTTAACGACTTACTTTTAAGGGCAGCCATCTTCAGATGATCCTTCTACCCTTTCACATAGAAGACAGAGACACTCGTACATTCTGATATCTGAAAACTTTGGTTCTTTTAAAACTTTTGATAAAAGCGAAATAATTGCATGACTACAAAACTCTAGACAACTTCCGTTCCTTTTTCCAAGTGTCGGGTGGAACTGATTTGACCAGGCTTGCAGTGCCCAAACAGGAGGCCCAGGGCAGCACAGGTGGGGCTTGTCCGCCCTCCCCCTGTGCTCAGAATACTGACCCCCACCCCCACCCCCAGGGCACACTGCACGTTCTGCTGTACCCTAAATCTATTTCTTTGTTACCTGAAAACTTAATTTTGTATAAAAATATGACTGTTTCTTTAGAAAATAATATATAGCTTTTTTTTTTTTTAAGAAAACCTGGCAGATAGAAAAAATGGTATATCAAAATAAGGTAAACAAATGTTGTAAAATATGAAATCATTACAAACATCTCGTAGAAAGACATTGTGCTAAAGTTCTCGCTGAAGTGCGGACAACATTGTTACTGTCCATCTAAAGGTTAATAAGTTCACTCTCCTGACTTGGTTTCATTATACATCCTAACAGCGGTGGCAGTTAACTGTCTTAAAAATGGTCCTTTCTCAAACGCTGACATATTCCGTATACCTTAACTTCAAAATTAACAAAAAGACACCCTCTGGAGCAGTGGTTTTCAACCCTGGAGCATATTAGCTCCATCTGGAGAGCTTTAAAGGAAAAGGCAATTCCACCTGGACCGCACTGCGGCAGACTGATTTTACTGGTCTGAAGTAGGATCCAGACGCTGTTATTGCTTTTAAAACTCCCCAAATAATTCGATTGTGCAGGGTTGAGAAACACGGCAAAAGACACACGAGAAGACAGTCATTCTTCACTCTGCATATATTAACTGATTGTCTGTAGGTATCATTCGTTCAGTGACACGTCCTCCATATTAAACAAGAAAGACGATACGCACAACAATCATGGAAGCCAAAACGAAGAATCAGTAAGCTGTAAACACATATAAACACACACAGTCTCAGGTATTTATATATGTATAACATATATGTATAGTGAAGGTATTTTGGTTAAGCAGAAACAAGCATTACCATAATTTGTTCTTGATTTAAGAAAAAAAACACCACCACCACACGCAAAGATTTTCTAAGACATTTCCATAGTTTTAACAAAACTGGTTTTGTAAACCCTGCAAAATGCATGATGACACGATGAACACAACCGATGGGATACCTGGATGAGAAAGTGAGCGGGGTCCTAGAACTTTCGGGAGGAACAGGAGGAGGAGAGGGCCCCGACCAGGTGTGAAGGAGTCACAAGGCATCACAGCACACACAGCCTTCTGGTTATTGCTTCGTTCGTGTCTTCTTGGCCCTGCGCTGCGTTTCTGCTAAATCTTTGGCTTGCTAGAACTGCAAGGTTTTGACCGCTTCCTCGGTGTTCACTTTGGGACAGCCCCAGCGAGGCGGCCGTGGCTACATACTAGGCAACGGCCTCTCCGTTAAAAGGAGGGACTCTTCTTTCTCTCCTCCCTCAAACCATGTGCATGAGGGAGTGACCAAAAAAAAAAAAAAAAAATTTACAAGTAGACGAATCAACCTAACAACATCTTTCACATGATAAAAAAAAAAAATGTGATGTCGTATAATCAAACTGAAAAACAAAACGAGGGACAAACACACCACAGTTCAATATGCTGAAGGCCTGGTAACCAGTAAAGCACATTTCCTTCCAAGGGATCACGCACATCTGGGCGCTTGTCTTGCTGTCCGTTCTCTGTAGTTCTTTTCTCTCTGCGGGATACTTAAAGTGCAACTGTCCCAAGGCTTTTGTTTCCATTGCAAATATCATAAAGAAAGAGCTTGTGGGGTGAAGAAGATATGGCACGGTAATGAACGAAAACCTGTGGCTTCTCCAGCCGCCAGTCTCCAGCAGGCTGCCCGTGTGGCTAGCTAAGCGCAGATGTACTTTATACAACAAACTCTGGCACTTCGTCATGAGTGAGATCCAGAGAAAAGTACTTGCTGGTTCTCTTGACTGGGAAAGCGTCTTGGATGTTGACACACTGCTGAGCCAAGCAGCTGTTGCAGTAGAGGCCTTCCTCATCCAGTTCGTGGCCACACCCGAAAGTGTAGCTCTGAGCAGTGTCTTGACAGAGACCTGCAATGCGCAGGAAGTCTTTCTGGTAAAGTCTGATGTCATCAAGGCTCAAGCTGTGTCGGTCAGTGGAGGTCTTTGGTTTTCGACATATGGTCTGCAAAAGAAGGTAAGGTTACAACTTTAAGAGGATGACTAAAGGGAAAGGGCAGCGATATTCTGCCCTTATAAAGAGAGACGCTGCAACATCATCAACGGTTATGGAATCCTCCGATATTAGAAAGTGATTTCTTCTGGCCATGTGTAGCAACATGGATGGACCTTGAGGGTGTTATGCTCAGCGAAATAAGTCAGGCAGAGAAGGACAAATATCATATGTTTGCACGTATAGGAGGATTAGGAGGAACTTGACGGAGGAACAAGGGGGAGAAGAAGGGCGGAAATGGTGGGGGAAAGGGAGAGAGGCAAACCATGAGAGACTCTTGAATGCTGACAAAAACTGAGGACTGATGGATGTGGGGGGGAGGGGGGGTGGGCATGGAGGAGGGCACTTTGGGGATGAGCACTGAGTGTTATGTGGAAACTAATTTGACAATAAACTATTTGTAAAAAAAAGAAAGTGATTTCTGGTCTGAGGTCCTGTGAGGAAAACGGCAGTACCACCCACAGTCAGAGTGGTTAACATTTACTGAGCCCTGATTATGTGCGAGGCCCTCATCTAAACATGATACGTGCATTTACTCATTTAATCTTCCCATCTGCCCTATGGGCCCAGCCCCATTATTCTAACCCATTTTACAGATGAATAATCCAAGGCAAAGGAAGTAAACTCAACAGGAGCCCAATCGTCTCAAGCATCTCAGAAGTCAAGAAATTGTCTTAAAATAAGGCTAGATAGGTAAAGATATGGTTTCTTTTCTTTTCTTTTTTTCCTACTAGAATATGACAATTCAGCATGGTAACACTCTCATGCTGAGGTCTGTCATTATTTTCATAAGAAATGGGGAAATGAATCAATTACTCGAGGAATGCAATTTGAAGAACTGTTTTTTTGTTTTCTGTTTTTATTAAGAAAGCTAGAGTTCTTGGATAGAAAAATAATACAAAGTTCAGGAAAGATTGGGAGGCAAGAGGCAACTCCCAAACACTGTGGGAGGTGTTGTGCCAAATACTCCACACAGCGGGCGACAGACTTCCAGAACTCATTATCCCAAGAAGTGGTACTGGCTGAAAACATAAGCAGGTTAAAAAATGGTTCAGATAATTACATGAATGAAAGATACTTAATGGGCTATTTAAGGAAACAGGGCACTGGACCTCTCAGCTTTTGCTGCTGAACACCACAAAAGCTGACCTTTGTCAGAAAGAGAGATCACTTTTTGCTAAAAGCAAAAGTACCAGGTGGGGAAAACAACGGGGTCTGAGCCCAAAACCATTTTATTGGGAAGTATCCCATCCGAGAACTCCCTCAAGATGCGGACTGCTGGACCCATGCAGGCGGCCCAAGTGCCAACGGCATCTCCCACATAGAATGCATTAGGTCATCCTCACAAATCCACATGGCAGGCGTGCAAACGCGCTTCCTACTCTGCAGGCGTGGAATCTGGTCCTTAGCTCTGCACCACAAGCATTTATGTACAGGAAGATCTAACACCTTGTGACAGAACTGGGTGCAAACCTGGGCCTGGAGTTTATGATTATCATGCTACACATACTGCTTTAGACATTACTCATTGGGGTATTCAAAAAATATGTAATAAAACATCATGTGCACATTGAGAGAGAAAGAGAGAGAGAGACAGACAGAAAGAGGATTGAGAAAGAAAAAGAGGTAAGAGAGAAGCACACACAGAAAGCAAAGACACAAAAACCAAAAAAGACAGAGATGGACCAAGAAAGAGACTCCTCAAGGAGAGAAAGAGAACGCACAGGAGACAGAGGTGAGTATTATCAGCTGCAGAATTATACCTAGATGCTACAACCCTGAGTTTCAGAGTATTTTATCTTTTGCTATTTTAACAGCCTAGCAAGTGATCACAGGTTATCAAACAGTCTCACTTAGCATACTTTGACAATGCAGTCTGAATGGAACAATCAGTGTGGAAGTACTGCTGTCACAACACGCCTGACAGGAAGATTATTCCTCCGATTGTTGAAGTCCACACACAACCTGAAGTCTGAAGTCTACACACTTCCCACCTCTATAAAGTGTGAAACACAGTACATAATTTCTCCAAATAAAAATCAGCTCAATGAATGGAACTCGCAAATACAATGGCTATAAGTTGAGGATAAAGCTGGAAGGTACCTAAGAAGAATCGCTGCTCATTTATATAAACATAAGATCCTATTTAACGTTTTCTGGAACTTCAGTGCCCAATTTAAACATTTCGATCCCTTCTGTACCTGTGGAAGCGAATCCGTGCTCTGGCCACGAAGCTTGACAACTGTTTCTGAGGAGCTTGAGGTGGAGGAACCAATTTCTTTCACAATCAACCCTAGAGTGAAACACAGAAAAACAAAAACAAAAACAAAAACAAAAACACACAAAACAATGAAGACCTCCTCTTATTCATACTTTTTGCCTCATATCTGACATATGCTATCAACCAAGACTGAAAGGTCAAGTATTAACCGTTCCTGAAAACCCTCACTGTGACTCACCCGTGGTAGACAACCAGATTGGAACACATTCCCTCTCTTGTCTTAGAGTAAATAGGGGGGTGAGGGATAAATGTGTGATGAGAGTACAAGAAGGAGTTGAGAGTCTGAATTTTCTAAGGTGAACCACAATTTCTAATGAAGCTATTTATGATGAAATTAGTGACAAAAACAAAGACTGTAGATGAAAGTAGTTTTTCCCTAAAGCTGGCCTTTTCCCTCCCCTGGCCTTCTAGGTTTGGGTCCCCTTAGATGTGCCGTTAAAGTGCAGTGTGGGGCTTGACCTCCAGAGTCACACGGATCTGGGCTGGAGCCAGGCCCAGACAAGTAATTAATTGTGCATTAAGTGTATGGCGGCCACTGACTTCGGCTCCCTATGCCTCGGTCTCCTCTTATACAGTGGGGCTGACAGCAGCGTCCATCCAACAGCTTAATGATGACTGAAGAGTAAATGCACAGAGGGGGTGAGGTATAGGGCCTGCATATGGGGTGCACAGCTCAGAGCTCCTCGGGCTGACAGGGGCCCTGTGGCACTTAGCCTCCTGCCGCAGATCCTAGTGGGGTGAGGCCCTGACTGGGGGACCGCCCTGAACACTCAGTTCTGGATCTCTAATCGTGACAGGGCCCTTAATCGCCTCAGGGCTCAGGGGCTTTCTGCTAATATTTTGGAAACAGAATTCCGGGGCTGAAGCTTCCCTCTGTGTCTATAGCATGTGAGTGAAGCACCAGAAAAAAATGTTTCGTAAGATAAAACTACTGACAAGAGCCGGAGAGGGAAGTGAAGATCACTGATGTTTTTCTGGCAAATAGATGAAGCAAGTCAGTTAAACCCCAGATTCTTAAGGCCAAATGGCTTCTCAGATAAAGCACATTCTCACCTTATAAGAAAGGAGCCTTGAGGATAATGTAATTTTTATTTAGCTACCGCTGATAACTTCAGAAATGGCCTTTAGTGTTTTATCCCTTCACTCTTTAGAAATGATGCCTAATGATTCAGTGACTCGTATATGCTTTGCATATATTAAGTGTTGGATTATGAGTTCAACTGAGACATGGAAGGAAGACGTTCTTGGTTTACATGGAGACAGTTTAAAAAAGTCTCAGGTGGGTACTTATGTTTTGGGAGTTAGTACAGACTGCTTTAGTAGGGGCTCCTTCTTGAGAATATCCTTATCTTTTAAAAAGCTTTACACTTTTAACAGATCCTCACAGGACAATGTGGACTGGTGCGCTTGGTTGGCACTTGGGATGATGGGTCCTTCTGGATTTCCTGGTCAATGTGCCCTTGGCCACCATGCCTGTGAATAATGTGCTCCCAAACTCGGACTCTGCATCAGACAAACCAGCAGCAAATCTGGTGCTGAGAACGCTAACCTGACTCCTACCAAACTTCCATCAGTATTCAATCCCAGCTCTGTGCTTGAGAAACAATGTTTAAATTTTCAAACTGTAGAGAATTTGGAAAAGAAGGGTGATGTGAGGAAGAAAATAAGATCATCTACAACCCCATCATCCAAAGGCTATTTATATTTTTATGTATTTTTTCATATACATATATACATTTTTATAACTTGAGATCATCCTATTTATATAATTTGTGATGTTTTTCTTACCTATCTTTCTTAGATTATTAAATATTCTGAAAAAATCAGATTAGTTAATGGCTGTACAATATTCCACTGTACAGACAGCACAGAACTTCTCGTTGTTAACCATTTAGGTTCTTTTTCAATAAGTAACATTTCAAAAAGCATTTTTTGGTATAAAAACCTTTTTAAACAGCCACCTTATTTATTTAAATTTTATTTTTATTTAAAATCGCAAAATCCAATCATAAAAATTAAACAGAGAAATATACAAATAAAAAGCCAAAGTCTGCTTCCCTCATTTCCCCTCCTCCCACAGACCCTTTGGTGGGGACGGTTCAGACAGTTTTCTTTCCACAAAAATACACACGCAGAGGAGTGAGAGCACGACAGTCCTTGCACATATAATGTGCACAGAACTGTAAACTTACATTTAATTTATGTTAGAATGTATTTGTGAGGGAAGATACTATATAAAAAAGTGACTGGGCAAAGAAGAGGGGGTAAAGTTTGGTTTGGAAACCCTAAGGCTTGAAGAATGCCCAGAACAAGCCGCCTGATGAATGTGTGTTTGGTCAGGCAGCGCAATTCTCTGTAGCTACTGGCAGGTCTCTTCCCGGCAGAGCATCTGGAGGCCATGCTTCTGCCAGGTTAGCAGATGAAACTCTGCAATACAAGGAGCCCCGTGCTCTTACAAATTCAATGCCAGGATGGGGGACCCTGTGTACTATGGCCTTGTTTATCTCTCATTCCCCGCACCTGTTGCATGGGTGAGGCTCGCTTATCAGGGACTGTGGGGCTTGACACAGCAATGACAGGTCCCCCTGGTTGTAAACAGGGTCTTTCACTCAAAGCTCGAAGTGGCTGAACAGTAAGTACCTGGGCCATTTGACTTCATTTCTGAGGCATGTGTTTAAGCAGAACGGACACCAATTCATGAAATGCGATGAGAACAGCCAGGAGCGACTGAGGTTTAAAAACAAAACCCATACTCTTGTTTTCTGCAGTAATATTGAAGGGTTATATCTTCTATTTTATAGAAGTAGACATTATATGTGACATTATATAATCCCATAATAGGTTTACAGTGAATGCAAGTTTTTTAGTCGAGTTAATCAAATATAGAATTTAATAGGAGTATCTTTTTATGCCAACCTTTTCTGACACTTTCTCCTCCACACTCCCATATCCACTCTGATCTAGTTGGGGGGAAGCAATACAAATGAAACTGGAGACCTGACTTTTGTTTCTAGCCACATAAGCATCTGTCCCCCTCACCCACAGGCTTTCTCATCTGTAAAACGGAGGTCCCCGAGGTCTCCTCTAGGTGTGTTCTAGGATTCTCTGACTACCATCTATAACAGCAAGACAAAACAACCGTAACAAAGAGAAAACTGTGTCTTACCACTTTGTCCTGAGCCCAGGGTAGATGACGCTAATTCCCAATCCTAGATGCTTCTCCCCTTCTTTTGCCTTTCTTCCTCACAAGGTGCTCAACCTTGCAGTCTATGGCGCTGACTTGGAAAGGTTCTGACTCCAGTCCTGTCTCTGGTCAAGAGCCCCACCCAGACCCTTCTATTTTCTGAGGCACCTGCTTCCTAGTCCAAGACAATCCACAGACTTAGGAGAAGAACCTCCCTAAGGAGCTCACCAGAGTGTCCGTTCAGCTTCCGTGACATGAGCATATCCTCGGTGATATAGATGCACATGTCTGGGCTGACTTCCAGAGACTCTTCATTCATCTGTTCCAGGTCCCTGGGGTCATCAACCAACATTTCTATTTCTAACGCAGGAGAAGGAAAAGACAGTAGTGATAGGAAGGGAAATGGACCGCAGCATTCATAGCCACACTGTGAGGGAGGCTAAGTGATTATTCAGATTTTAAAATTCAGATTATTCAGTGCTAATGAGAATCTACAATAGGAAACTCTAGAGATAATTCTCAACTAGATGTATTTGCTCTCTTTTTCACAGGATTGCTGTGTTATCTAAATGTCTTCTGATGCCACGATTTAACAGTCAGTTATTCTTTACTCTTTGAGAAAGAAGAAAAAAGCTATACCACCTTGCTGAGATGACAAAGGGCGACTCAGACTGATGGGCTGCATGCCTAAGGCCCGAGCAGACTACTGACATCTGCACAATGGGTAGCTCCTAAAGCCCCCCATTTCCCAGAGCTGCCTACTCCCAGGGCACCCAGTGGCTTCACTGAAGAGCCACATGAATTCTATAGTAAGCAAGCAAATGTGCCGCCATTCTCCTTACTGAAGTCAGTATCCTTTCCCCAAACCTGAACGCTATAGCACTTGAGCAGAAAAATAATAAAAAAGATGCACACATATGTTAGGTTTGGCTGAGACAGGCCGGAGGTCTGGTTTTATCTCCATAAAGCTAAGCAGAGCTAAGCAGCCAGGTGCTTTCTTTTACTTTGGAGTCCGGGCTGCATAGGAGGAATTCAAGAAAAACTTACTAAATAACTGATGGCCTAGGCTCAAGTCTTGTCTTTTTTTTTTTTTTTTTTCCCTACAAAGTTTAAGACATTTCTGCCACTATCACTGCATCTCTGCTGTTGTCCTCACCGGTGCCTATTTAATCTGCATTAACCAGAAATGCAGACAGGAGCGCAGCGGCACCGACCTCTCCTCTACTTCGGATAAGCCACTAGGAGTCAGACTCCACCAGCCTCCCACCCTGTGGCGGCAAAGGATTGTGACCAGAGGAATGCTTTGTTCACCGACTCGAGCAACTCCACCAAATCACGAGGGAAGGTGAAAGACACCCCTTCTTGTCCGTTACTACTTCTGAGCTGTGCTCCACACAGCAGTTCTCCAGAAAGGGTGTGTGGGGGAAAAAGAAACGAGGTATGAGGAAGACGGAGCGAGCGCGGAAGGAACGGGGCGCGGCTTACCGTCGTCCTGCGAGTCCTCTTCCAGACGGTCCTTGCCGCTGCTCTCCACGCCGGAGGTGTGGGAGCTGCCGTGGCTGGTCATGGAGCTGCAGGTCTTCAGCTTGCGGTGGATGGCGCTGCCGGAGTAGCTGTCCTCCGGCCCCGCGTCCCGCGCCTTGGTGTCTGCCTCGATGCCCGACGTGTGCGAGCTGCCGTGGCTGGCGGTGGAGTGGCGGGACAGGCGCTTGTGCTTCGCGCTGCCCGCGCTGCTGCCGCTGGCCCGGGACCGCTTCTCCAGCTGGTCCACGTCCAGGTCCAGGCTGTCGCTGATGTAGGACTCCCGGTACTGCTTCTTCTCTGCGCGGTGAGAAGCACATTCAAGCAGGATGGGGGGGGGGGGGGGGGATACACGCCTGGTTAGCTTACGTGACACATCAGGCTAAGATCGAGTGCAGCTTCACACTCGGGATCTAGTGCCTGGGGCGCGGTGAGGGTTCTGACGGGGCCTCAGCTTAGGAAGATGAGCAAAAACGTGTACAACACATCTGAGGGAGTGCTGAAATGACTCAAAGGGTAGTGAAGCTTCAAAACTACAGAACGGTGTTGCTCTAAGTAGAGTCACCAGACCACCTCTTGTCTGCAAACTGTCATTGGTCCACAGCAATAGAAGTTCAGTAAGTGAATATAAATACTTACAGATTTTCAGAGCAATCTGACAGCACCGTGACAGCCACTAAGGTGATTTTGTATTTTGTAAAAGTATCAGTCCAAGAGAAATGTTAAAAATCTGGTCCTTCCCCACAAATAATTTCAGAAGCACCGCTATGGAAGACTGTTTAATAAATATAATTATACTAATTGCCAGTGATTTCATTTATTCAATTTGGCCCATTATTAGCTCAGTTCTGACTGTTGAATATAATTTAAAATAAAACTATTCTTTGGCAAATTTCTTTCAGAGAGTTATAAAATTTAGTTTTTCATTAGGGAAAACTGCTTTTCTCCATTTGGGGTGAACTAGTGAGGTTTTATGATCTATTTAGAAAACACAGTAATCACTGCTGGTTTGATGCTTTAAACCTATGGGGCCTCTGACTGACAAAACTGTTCTTTGATTTAACATGTCAGTGCTCCTTCTTTAACAGCAAGACATAATATTAGAAAGTCCCTTTCATCAAATGCTGAAGTAACAATTACATTAAGGAGGCACAACATTATAAGTGAGTTGCAGGTACACAATACTTCTGTTTCAAGTCAGAACTGTAAACCAGAGAAACAGTTTAGATTCTTTGTATTTTTAATACTGATGAGAAATAATGCATTAGAACAGTGGAGAATGCATTAGGTGAATGTTAAATTGATATTTCAGAAATTGCTAACTTGTAGACCAATTGGGTTCTCAGGGGCCTGCTGATGGATTTAAATGTCTTGTTTCCTGGTTAAATGAAAATACTTGCACTCCTGATGTCTGAAGTATAATCAAAACAGGCTCCCTATGGAGGGAAGAAGCATCAGCAGAAAAGAAGATGCACTTTCCAGGATGCAAAATGCAAAAATGCTTGCAGAAGGCTATGTGTACATTTTTGGGCTCCAGCCATCCGTGTCAGTTCTAGGGAATCAGGCTGTGACACAACAGCTAGATCGTGCAGCCACAGAAAGCAGACTGGGGCTGGACACCTGAGCCCAAAACACACATCGGAGACAAATGTGCATCATCTAAAACCCATTTTTTAGGGCTAGACTGGGTTCTAGAGATTCCTGTTTTCTGAACGCAACAGGGGTTGAGATGAAGATGGAGAGTGCTAAAGGGGTTTGGGAAATTCTGCCTTCCAAGTACTAACCAGGCCCGACTGTGCTTAGCTTCCGAGATCAGACGAGATCGGGCGCGTTCAGGGTGGTATGGCCGTAGACAGGTTTGGGAAATTCTCATACAATTTCTATTCACTGTAGTTTCAAAATAGTAGCCATGTGATATTTGGAAAGGTGGAACATGAAAACAGTTTTCTAAAAAGTTCTTTAGGGTGCCAGAGTTCTAAGACAATTGGGAATTATGGATCTAGTAACTTAAAAAGCTTTCTACCTCTTTAGAAATAGCCCTTTTACTCCCAACCCTTCCCAGCAGGTTCGGAGTCAATTATACTCTATACTCATTAGGAGAAGGCAAGACAAGCACTTGCCGACCTGCTGTCTACCTTACAGGAGCCTAGTGCAAATCTACTTCCTGTCAGTGTAGCATGGCCTTCCTGTTCTACGTGGCTGGCTAGTGTTCCCTTCCTAGGGCTGTTATCACTTAGACCTCATACAAGTAAGAAGTATCATGAAGGAAATGATGTAATTATGAAATTTATTCTGACACCTGGGAAATGTAACCTCCTACCTCCCTAGTAATCACCAGCGTCAACGGCACAGATTACCGATGTGTTGGTGTTCTTTGGAACACTTCTTCTCTAGAAGCCCAGAGACCACAGAGCTCTTCACATATTATTTAGGAAGAGAATGTAGTGTGACCTCTTGGCATATGACCTAAGAATAAGCTCCAACTGTTGAATAAAGTCGGGTTAAAAAAACTTTTTTTTTTTAAACTTTTCTAATGACAAAGGCATTTCCCCCCTTCTAAATGCTACGGAAGAATTCTTGTGATCATTTTCTCCTATAAAATACTAAAAGAGTATCTCAGACAAGGTGGCTCTAAATTAAATTTAAGAAAAATACGCTCTCTTTCTGTGCTGTTTTTTTTTTTTTCACTAAGAAAAGGGCTTTACTGTAAAAATGATGAAGCCTTTAAGTATGGGTGAAATAAGTGTCATCAGGCCGAAGCTGGCCCAGAGAAACTTAGTTTTGGGCATTCTTTAGACTGTGAGGGGTCTCTAAGTAGAAGAAAAGAAGTATGTTTTCTTTAGAAGAAAAAAAGAGATATGCCCTCAAATCTATCTACATTTATCCAAATAACAAATACAATTCACACCTTCATTGCCCCACTTGCATAAGCCCCCAAATGCACTCGATACGACACATGGTAACAGACAAACCCCTGCTTTCGAAGAACTGAAAATTCTTTGTAATTTCACCTTAGAACCTATAAAGGTTCTGGAATTGACAGACTCTAAAGGGCTCCTCTTATGTTCATCTAAAAAAGAATTTACTAAAATGTTGGCAAAGCTGTAAAATAAATAAACTTCTCAAGGCGTGCTAAGCTGGCCATTTAGGAATGTGACCAATATGGCACATACACGACAGGCTCTGCACGTAAGTCGTCTATTCTTACAATTTCCCTTGGTGCTTCTCTCCAATCCTGATTCCTCCTAATATTCATGTCACCATTGCGGAGATGCGTCTGTTATACCAATGAGTTGTGGGGGAAGAACTCGCAGCCTGGCTGCAGAGGAAGCCAACACACCAGTTCCCTCCAGACAAGCAGCAGTTTGGTGGCAGACAGTGCGAAATGATTCATGTTCTAATGGCTACTTAAAATGCAATGGCATCCCCAAACTGGGTCTCATTCAGTTAGAGAGATAGCTTTTGAAAGAAATTGATCAGCTGTGCAAATCTCTATAAGGTTTTTTGTTAAGAGGACAAGTATTTGTGTTTCTGTGAGAAAGGTGTGGTCTGAGAGGTCAAAATCTGTTTCAGACTTGGACCTGAGACATGAACCTGCACCCAAAAGTTCATGCAGATATCCTAAATCTAATTCTAATTGAATCATACTACAGTGTGGATCTGCAAAACAAACTGAAGACATTAAAATAGGCAAATACGCACAGTAGCATTTTGGGGGATCAGAAGTTTGTGTGTGTTAAATGGAGTAACCCTGGGTACCATGACTTAAGATGAAGGGCTAACCATTAGCTTAACATTGTAGAGTGGAAGTCTGCTCTTAGAGGCCCCAATCCCTGCCTTCCTCTTCCTTACCATGACTCATTCCCCTTTTCAGGGGCCCCAAATGTACCTCTGCAAAGCCCATAGAGGACTGGCTGATAAAATCCTCAAATGAAAACTTCTTTTGGCGCACCTGGGTGGCTCAGTCAGTTAAATGTCATGTCAGACTGTTGGTTTCAGATCAGGTCATGACCTCATAGTCTGTGAGGTCAAGAACAGCGCTGGGCTCTGCACTGTCAGTGTGGAAACTGCTTGGGGTTCTCTCTCTCTCCCTCACTTTCTGCCTCTCCCCTGTTCTCTCCCCATCTCTCTCAAAATAAATAAATAAACATTAAAAAACATGAAGAAAACTTCTTTCTCCTTTGTCATTCCTGCTGACCCAGACCTGGAGTCCTCTCAGCAGTCTATAAGAGAGACTGGAGACATTTCCGTCACACACCTTTACTGTTACTTTAATCTAAGGAGTAACTGCATTGGAAAAAATTCCAAATTCCAAGGTGCTCTGAGTTACAGATAAATCTTGCCCTGCATCTTCATGTGGTGGTTTTTTGCAAGGATTCTCAAATGTAGGGAGACTGTACTCAGGGGTAGCTAAATGACAGGGGTGACCTCAGGTATTTGGGACAGGTGGTGTGGTCGGTGGGCCTCAAGGCTATCCCTTGTCTTCTGGGACAGTGATGAGATGTGAGGAGAACACGGCTCTGGATCCGGAGAGGCCCAGCCCTCGAATCCCATTCTGCAGGAGTCTAAAGCCCCAACTGATGGCAACTATAGAGTAAGGGTCCGCAGGCAGCCAAACCACCGTGTGCTCCTCCCCCCAACATACCTTCATTCTCCTCCAGCTTCCGGATGTGGCGCAAGACAGGCTGTAGATTCATGTAAAGGCGGTGGCTATTACTCAGAAGCTGCAGGAGGTGTCGGGAGCGCATGGGACACCCTGTGTAGTAGATGAGCTTCCTGGCTGAGGGCAAGCCATCTGGCAAAATCTCAAATTTCTTACCCTGTGGAATGAAAGCATGAATCAGATTTTGGAAAGTAAGCCTCTAATTTACCAAGGTCCCCTTTGTTTTCTTTTTAGTGAGAAAAGTGCAGATTCAAAAACAGATGTATAAAGCTGCACTCAAATTTCAGCGAGACATAAATTACTGTTTTCCTTTTCAAAAATGTCACAGGACGGGGATTACCAAAAATTCAGGAAAGTGTCTAGCCAGGGTCTTCTAGTCGACACCAACTGGGTATGACAGCTGAAGAATCTCTTTGGTTTCTCTGGCTAGTCAGGCCATTTATACAATGGAGAAGAGAAGGGCCCATCATGAAAGCATCTTCAAATGCAATTCCAACCCCCAATTCAGCAAACAAGATGACAAATTCTAAAAGCATAACGCATTCAAATATTTTTAAACACTAGGTACCAAACACTTGTGCTAGTCACTTGAGAAAATAACAGTGAATAAGACAGATGAGGTCACTACTTTCAAAGAAATACATTCTGGTGGGAGAGATGGCAAATAAACACATAAAATAACTATAGCTTGTGACAAACTATGAGGAGAAAATAAATGAGGAGTTATGATAGCAAACACTATGAATACTTTTTTAGGGTTAAGACAAAATGGAAAATGTCTTCAGCTGGGTAAAAGGGGGAGGCTGGGGATAGGGCACCTGCCTGGCTGCTCAGTTGGTAGAGCATGCAACTTTTTAGAAAAAACCCTTTATTTATTTTTAGAAAAAACTCTTTATTTATTTAATTTTTGGGGGGGTGAGAGAGAGAGCGAGCGAGCACGCACACACAAGTCAGGGAGGAGCAGAGGGAGACAGACAGAGACAGAGAATCCAAAGCAGGCTCCAGGATCTGAGCTGTCAGCACAGAGCCTGATGTGGGGCTCAAACTCATAAACTGTGAGACTGTGACCTGGGCTGAAGTCAGATGCTTAACCTACTGAGCCACCCAGCTGCCCTGAGCATGCAATTTTTGATCTCAGGATTATGAATTCAAGCCCCACACTGGGTGTACAGCTTACTTAAAAAAAAAAAAAAAAAAAAAAGAGGGACAGCTCAAGGGATGAGATAGGAAAGAGAAAGGAAGGGATATAAGTAGTGTTAATAGTTCTAGCAACAGAGATATAAGGAATCTCCCTGTTTAAGTTTGGAATCATTAACATGAAGTTCATTACCATAAGCTGAGGGTGAGAGTTTGGCACTGCTTTTTATAGTTATGGAATGCTGTAAGTTTACTTATTTTGAGAGAAAGTATGCATGCAAGCGAGGGAGGGGCAGAGACAGAAAGAATCCCAGGCAGGAGTGCAGAGCCTGACGAGGGGCTCCATCTCACAAACTCTGAGATCATGTGACCTGAGCTGAAATCAAGAGCTTAACCAACTGAGCCAACCAGACACCCCAGTCATGGAATGATCAATTCCTTCACCTTTCCTATGAATGAGCTGGGCAGCAGGACTGCATAAGGAATACTGCGGACATGATGATTCTCAACCCGGGGGCAGAAGTAAAGCAAAGAGGGAGGCATCTTCTAACTACATCCTTACAGTCAATAAAAAAAAAAAACAATACGGCTTTGTGTAGCTCAGTTGGGAATATTTCCCAATGCTAGAAAGGCAATAACTGACACTGAATGAGCACTAGGCAGGTATTAACTCATTTAATCCTCACAATCAGTCTATGGGGGAGGACCAATTATCCCCATTTGGGAACAAAGAAACCAAGGCACAGAGGTTAAGTAACTTGCTCAAGGTCATACAACTGGGCAGGACCGGGTTGGCTGTGAGAAGAATCACCTGGGAAGTTCATTAAAATAGATGCCTGGTCCCCAACCCACACCCACTGAATCAAAACTCTCTTAGGGGAGGACGACGAGGCCCAGAAATCTTTACCTGAAACCAGCTCCTCAGATGAGGCTGTTGCACAACTTAGATTCAGGAACCACTGTACCCAGGACCCTTAAGAGACTCAATTTCATAAATGCATTTTATGTCTACTCAATTTGGAACATGAAAGGGGTAACTGGGGTAATAATTTGCTCATTTTCATACAGCTCAGATCCTTGCACAAAGGGCCTGAATGAGAGAGAGCAAGTGAGGAGGAGGTGGGTCAGGCCCCATTTGATGTATGAGTACAGTGAAATCAGATTGAACTGGGCCCAAGTAATTAAAATAATGTAAAGTGAGGAACAGGTCTTTTGACTTCACAGGGCAATATGGAGTCAGTGCCCAAATGCTATTTGGCAATACAGCCCTTTATTTATATAGGCCATCTTCTTTATTTGTACATGTGGACAAGTCCTTATCTTCCTCCTTTGTGTATTTTTCCCCAACAATTTCTGAACAAAGAAAAAAAATGAGTATTTTAATGACCACTAGATATACATATTATTAACTATAATCCTTTGAGCCCTACCCAAAATTGGATAGAGCCGGCAAAGTAGAGAAACAGCTGGGAAAAATCATGAATTTGCTCTGATAACAAAAAGAGGATACTATTCTCAACATTCTAAAAATAACAGCATTTTTTCCTGTTAAGAATTGTAGACCTTTCATTATAATATGTTTTCAAAGAGTTAGATATTAATAGAAACATCTTTTTATATCACTCTTTATTCTTTGCTCAAAAGAAGTAACTTCTAAAAGAACTGGCAGACCCTCACGAAGAGTAATTTGTCCTGAGATTATGGCTTTCTGTTTTCTGATCCCTCTGATGTAGGCTTTTAAAAATCATTCTCTTTGCTGAAGTCATCTTGTATGATCTCCACTACATTTCTTCTGCAACTACAGTAACTTAGGATAGTGCAGTGGGGATCAGACTCACAAATTAATTTCTTTTGCTGTAAGATTCTTTTAGATTCATGACCGATGATGAGTGGCAATGAAGAAAGCATGTACATAAGAATATAAAAAAGTGAGTTGTCTTCATTGTCAGCTTTCCCCCCCAAAATACCAACTTTTGTACCTGGCACAGCATTATTTTTAAAAACAAAACAGGGAACAACAGAAATCCACAAAAACAAGCAACTGAGCAATTTTTTTTTAGTCAGTTATTTTGAACTTACCACAAACACCAACTTTCCAACATTTGTCCAGGGGAAATCATAAAGTAATTGTTTCTCTTCATCTAAATTCTGTGGAAAAAAATTATAATGCATACAGAGTTACTGAGGAAACTTCCAGAGACTTTAAAATGGCTCTAACTACTCTCTCAGAAAAATAAAATACAGTAATTAAAATCTAAAAGAGGTCCTCAACTCTCTTTGGAGATGTTCAGACAGTAATTAAAAGATTAGTGATACAATTCTGTAGCTTTGGGTTCCTGAGTGACTGCATTAACCGGCCTTTCAAGGCAACCTTTTCCCTTTGAGCCTATCCATAAATTTAAATAAAAAATCCAGAAAGACTCAGGCATTCAAGAGATGAGATAAGGCACTCAGACTTTCATAATTGGATATTATGCCTACATCAAGATAAGAGATTCTTATATTCTGCTTGGTCTCACAGAAAGAGGCATTCTCTCTTCCCTGTTGATGGCGGCGATATAATGCCATCCCACTTGCAAGAGTGTGACAGGGACACGGGATGGGCTTTATTGGAAAAGTGTAATGGAAATTAAAATGCCTGGTCTGGCACTGTATTAAGACGTCATTTGTTTTCTTTGCACAGTTATAACACTCCAGAGGAGCGTCACAATCAGGATATTTAAAATCAATAACACACAAAGAAAAACATGTGGATATTAATGATCTGTTAGTGATGAACCTGAGCCAATCTTTGGCTTCTTACTTTCTATTCTAGAAGACTTATTACGGTCATGGTTTGGACTGTAATACTTCATCTATCCCACATCATCCCCATTTGTACTAGACAAATAGGAAGTAATGGCCAGAAATGAACCAGTGAACCTATTCAAGGACCACACAGTCAATGTGACACATGACAGATACCACTCGACACTTATTTCTCATTTACTGACCTGAAAAATCTGTATTCCCCGCATGGTCAGTCCAAGCATCAGAGAAGCTTCAACTTCCCTTTTATCCTACAGAAAGAAAAACATATGAAAAAGACTTTTTTATAATACAACGGACAATTAAACATCAAAGGAGAAAAACAGAAGGAGAAATCTGATTAGAAAATTTCTGATATAAAACAACTTCATTCAGGGGCTTTTGGGTGGCTCAGTCGGCTAAGCATCCAACGTTGGCTCAGGTCATGATCTCGCAGCTCCTGAGTTCGAGCCCCACGTCGGGCTCTGTGCTGACAGCTCAGAGCCTGGAACCTGCTTCAGATTCTGTGTTCCTCTCTCACTCTGCCTCTCCCTCACTCATGCTCTGTCTCTCTCTCTCAAGAATACATAAACATTTAAAAAAAATTTAAATAACTTCATTCATCTTTTTGCATCCCTAGTTCACTATAAGCTTTAAGAAAATCATGTGCACATATGCATGAGCAAGGATATATTCTACTTTTTAAACCGCTGAGATTTCAAAGGATTAGTGTTTTCACTATATTGTATATACTTTTATATCTGACAATATTCTAAATACCTATATCATTGAAAACTCTAGTAAACAATACTATTTTTGCTGCTTATTTATTTTTTAGCTTTCTACCTTTTCCCAGATGTTGGAATCTTGAATCTAATGTCATATATTCTGAGCTGCACTAGATTTTATAGGTTTCAAACTACGTAACTCTCCTGCCTCTGAAGCCAAAATCAGAGGCAAGCCTAAATATTTAAGGCTCTCATCCCATGAGGATAAAAAGCTTTAAAAGCTTTATATTCAGTTTGTTTGGAAAGAAAATACTTATTTCTAAGAAGTTCAATTATCACTTGCCAATATGATATACATTCTACCAGCAAAAACTATAAACTATAAAAAATCAACTATGATGAGTATAAGGGAAAAAATTCCTGAAATGTTCTCTGAATTTTAAATGTACTCTGAAATCTGGCCACATCTTTGGAGTGCTCATGTGTAATAATCGGATATAAGGTACGAAGTTCAAAACAGAAGATAAATAAAATTACAAAGTAACTGAAATATTTTCATTATGAATTCCTCAATAAAAATAAGAGAGTACGTTCAGTGCCAGCTTTCCCAAGAATATGGGAAGAAATATTTTTAGAAAATGCATCCTCATCTGGCATAGTAAAGACAAGATATGGCCTATTTTCACTATTTGGACTGTTTTCTCCAAGTAATACGTTTTTACATCAAGAAAGGCCCAAACAGTATAGGATTTGCAGGAGAAATCAATCTATCACTGAGTTTAGGTCAATTTCTTCTTCAAGGCTACTCTGATTGCTTCCTGAAATAAGATTGTGCTCATAAAAATGCTGGCTGTGCAGGCACCAGGCATGTGCTGCTGGAAGAGGGACACAGAAGTTTTCTCCCCCAGAATGTTTCCTGTCCTCTGTCTACCTTATTTCCACTTTACAAGCAGTTTTAATGGCTGCCACTTGATTTCTCTCAAGAATGAAAACTCTGCCCATGAGGTAACAATTTCTATCTCCCTATTTCATTTAGTGTCATTATCATTATCTTGTTTTAAGAAGATAAAAGAGTCATTTTCTATGCCATGTAGAAGTACCACATCATAAGCAAATAAAAGATTAATTTTTAAGCAAAAGATAAATTGGGGGTATTTACTAAAGGATTCCTAACAGGAGTCTTTAAAATACTAAGTTCCGTATCAAATGAGAAGCAGTTGATATTTATTGAGCCTTGATTAATGTACCAGACATTCTACCTGGTTATTTCACATCCATTACATCACAGAATTTTCCCAACCTTGTGAAACATATTGAACCATTCCCACTTAATAATGGCCCAGAATTATAGCTTTATTTGCCTAGGATCCCATGAGTGGTGATGTAGGGTTTCTGATATCTGACTCTAAAGTCACACTCACTCCTTATATGCCATTCATACTTCCTGTACATTTTAAAATATAAACTGATTGTCAAAAGTCATTTATTTGCATTTTCTCACATAAACTGAGGTGTCACAAATGAAATCTCTTAAGGAAACAAACAACTCCCTCCTTCATGAATTTGGCCAAAGAGACCTTACAGAACTCGATTATGCCTCTCAAGGATTACACGATATCAACAGTTGCATCTTTTGGACATGGAAGTGAGGGGAAAAAATACCATTCTTTGGTACCTTATTAAGTTTTCTGAGCCAGCCAGGAAGATTATCCAGTAACATATCCAAACTACAGCCTAGTCTCCAATGGTCTCGTTATGCTAAGCTTTCCACAAAGGGTACAGTAGTAATAAGCAGCATAATAATAACAATGATAATGGTAACAGCTTAATATCTTGCTTAACATGGGCTGGGCACTGTTTTTATCCATAAATTCTTGTAGTCAAGTAGGCCTGGGTTGAATCCTGGCTCTGCCACTTGCTAGTTTTGTGGTGTTTGGTCTGTTTCCTCATCTGTAAAATGAACATTACAGTTCCTATTTTATAGAACTGTGAGGATTTAAAAAAGAAAATAAAGTGCACCCTATTAAAAACAATACTCAGTAAACATTAGCTGTTGTGGTAGTTCTCCTAATTAATGGATACAGTGCAGGTATGAACTCTCTTGGGAGAATATTAAAAATTACTGATCAAACAAGTTGCAAAGGTTAGTCCCCAAGGCAGAAATGCAGATTTGGAAAGGAGAAAAATAACTATTTCACAGTCACTGAAAACCCAGATTCCCAATTTGAAGCCACTTGGTATCTCAATATTAGAACCATTAATAAAAGACTCTATTGTGCTCCCAAGCCCGAGGAAAAGCATCATTAACTCCAAGACTGACCTACCATGACAAACAGTTCACATGAATCCTTTTTTTTTTTTAAAGCCCATTAAAAAAAATGAAATGACAACTTTAATAAAAGCTTCTTCTAATCAGGAAGGTATTTTGTCTTCAGAAGCTGCAGACATGGGCGCCTGGGTGGCTCAGGGGGTTAAGCCTGGCTTAGGTGGTGATCTCACAGTTCTTTAGGGAGTTCAAGCCCCACATCAGGCTCTCTCTACTGTCAGTGCAGAGCCTGCTTTGGATCCCCTGTCCCTTTCTCTCTCCCCCTTCCCTGCTCATTCTCTCTCAAATGTAAACAAACATTTAACAACAACAACCAAGAGCTGCAGACTTACTGCAGTTTCGCACCTTATACAGTCTGTAGTAATGAACAGCAACGTCATCCAGTCGGACGGCCTCTTTGATGTATTTGAGATGAGCCTCGGAAGCTGTCAGTGCGAACTGATCTTTGTGCATATTTGGAATGTGCTTCAGGATGTAATCCTTCCCTCTCTTGGAAACAACCTGTTGGAATACAGTGGGTATGCACTGCCACGTTTGTCAGAGGGGTGGAAGTCCTACCGCTGTCTCCCACCCCCCGCCCCAAATGATGAAAGGAGGTCATGGAAGCTGGCTAATTTCCATCAGGAAATTTCCCACTTTTATTCTATTTTCACCATCTGTTATGTTACTAGGCTGAATCAGCTATACTAGAAACTACAAAGTCAATTTAGCTGCATATCTGAGAAGAAAAATTATAAGAAATGAGAAAAATATGTTCTCTTGGCTTGAAACTCACCAAGGAAAAAAAACATGCAAACTTGCAAAATTTTGTACACATCACTGTTTATACTTGCAGAATTATTGGTACCATGAAATACATCTACTGTCAACACATCTTCAGGTTCTGGATCCTACTTGACTCTTCTAAAATTACAGCCACAGAGTAGGAGGTTCTAAATGTTAATCCAAAGAAGGCAGGGGACTGGGAGGAATTCTCTGCAAATTTTTGGTTTTTGCATAAAAGGCTGATGTGAACACTCTATTTGAATATTTGTGAGAAAACAATTTCATTCAAACATTCATTGCAATTCACTGTGGCTTAGTTTTTCAACAGACAGTAGCCTGAGCTTTTCAAGGCCAAAATATAGTGTATCCAGCAGCTGCAGACTAAAAGAAAGGTGCTGATTAGTTAAAAATCTTAGCTGATTTCATTAAGGATTATAAAATATGGAAAGGATTATGGAAAGAGCAAAAAGAGTAGTGCTTAAAATCATCAAAATAACAAAACTGAAGAATTTTTAGTTTTAAATGTTTTTATAGATACTGACATTTTGTTTCTTCCTATTGAAGCAAACATGATAAATTACTGGCTATTTAATATTGCTGAGAACTCAAAGTTACACATTTTTCTTTCTAGACTCCTTTTATGTGGAGATCACCTAAATCAGTATTTGTCAACCTTGCTTGGCTCAAAGAACTAACAGAAAATAATATTTGTAAGGGCACTGAAGTAGGTGGCTTTGGTGATCTTAAAGGTTGAAGAAACTCGAATCTCCACATTCTGGAGGCTGAGTGGGGGCAAACTGACTGGGAAGCTCTGATTTAAAAGACCAAGATTCAGCAAGTCCCCGATGACAACTCGGGGAACATAAATACGTACAGGCTAATTTGCATTCCACAGACACTAATACGTAAAAGCTTGACATCTTTTGTGGTTTCTCTCTAATGACTGATGTGCTATCAATCAGTCCACAAAAACTTGTATTGATTGAGCACCTCAATGGGAAGTGCTGAAGAAACAGAAGAGGTGAAGTTTAAGCCTGTCCTTTAGAATATACTAATAAACAGTTCCTTGGAGGCAAAAGATAAACAGAAACTAAGATGTCAAACACTGTGTCGGGGGGCTTTCTAAGCCCAGAGGAGGGACGCTGGGTACCTAGACAGTCTGCCCAGAGGGAACTATACCTGAGCAGAGTCTTGGAGGATGAAGAAGAATTAGCCAGGTCAAACAGGGAGAGGGATTTCACTGGCTAAGAGAACTTCAGGTAGAAAGGTCAGAAGTGCAAAATACCACAGGGCATTTGGAGACTCCGGGATTAATGGATGCTGTTAGAGCATAAAGGTCAAGCCACGGGACAACCAGAAAGGAAGCTGGAGAGGCTGGCAGAGATCAGAACCTGGAAGGTTCCTCGGTTCTGTGTGGGAGCCTGGCTTTCACTCTGGAGGTGAGAGGGAAGCCCCTGAAGATTTAAATCAGGAGCAAAATCCACTCGTCTGCAGGCTCTAAGGACGGAGGCAAAGACAAGCTCCCTCAGCAGGGCTGCGGAGTGCTGACAAGAGCTGGAACCGGGGAGACGACACGGGGAGGGCACACCATCGACATGCAAGAAGTCAACCACAACAAAAATTCAAGGGACTCTGATTTCTTAAGCTGGTGATAGGTAATGAAGTGTTTGATGTCAGACATTGTTCTGCTTGATGTGGGCAGGGCAGGGAGAGAGAAGGGTGGTGGGGAGCGCTTTGCAGGAGCCTCAAGTTTCTGGGTGACCGGGTGGATGGCAGGGCTACTAGCTGACATTAGGAACAGAGAGGAAGGAATATATAAAATGAGGTGGGGGAAAGATGAATTTGACTTGGGACGTTTTGAGTTTGGGGTGCCGATGGGTAAACAGCTATCTCACGGACACAGGGAAGAGAAACAGATTTGGGAGCTGCCAGCACATAGGTGGTTGTTTAAAAAAAAAGAAAAAGCACTCATTTGGAGGAGATCTCCCAGGATGAGAGCGGTTATGTGTCAAGTGCAGCTGAGAAGAGAAGTGTAAAGTATCCACAGGGCTTGGCGACTTAAAGGTCACCGGTGAGCGTAGGGACAGCATGATGAGTGGAGGGGAGCGGTGGGGACAGAAGGCAGATGGACGTGTGTTGAGGAGTACATCTGGGAAACAAGGTAAAAAGTCTGATTTACAGAAGAGACCTGGAGGAAGGGTGGGCACAGACATGGGCAGGGTTGGGTGGAGAAAGCACAGCGAGACAGTTCATGCTGGAAAAACCTAAATTTGCCTGCTGAAGTAAAGGCATGGCTCCTCTCGCGAGTGGAGGAGATGGTGGTCAGATGGTGGTCAGCGCAAGGCGACTACTTACATTTGTTTTTGCAACATAGGAAAAGGTGAGAATGATCTTACTTTTTAAAGTGTTATGTTTTTCTCCCTTCAAAGGGAGGAAAAGGATGCTTGAATTAAGAGCAAGTAAGGAAGTAAAGACCATGCAAATGCCAAAAGAAGGGCTGGTAAGTTCCAAGTTCCACCATATTTAGGACAGACAAAAATCCTCTTCCCCTTTAACTAGAAGTAGTAGATCAAATACATCAAGAGATCATGTGTACGATGCTCTTAAGTGTTAAAGTTATATCTGGGCATCACGAAGGGTTTTACTGGCCACAAACATCTGGGTTCCCATTTCTTGAAGCAACATGAGTAGCAGTATAATGAAGTAGAAATGTGCTAGAGAAAACACTTTAAAGCTTGAAAACAGTGCCTACCCAAGATGGGAAGTAAGCCTCTGGCTCAAAGTATTTTCCATAGTGCTTATTCCTTTTGAAGTTCCCAAGATCAGCCTGCAGGGCAAAGGCTGCCAGCAGGAAATAGGCCTCTTCTCGGAGCACACACTGAGAATGAAGAACTTGTTTTCTCAGGTGCCAGTAATAATAGTATCTTGCTGCTCTGTCACTAGGAAAATAAAAGAAAACAGAATTCACATTTGATGGAACAATCCAATGGCATGTAAACAGAACCCAAATCCTGCTATCCATCTGGTGACAAGAGCTCTTCTGTCTCTGCTCCCCCGTCCTCCCTCCTTCCACACTTCTTGAAAAAAATAAAGGGGTAGGGGGTTGAGGCTAATACCTGCTTGCTGCCTCATCCAGGTTGCAGGGAGGTAGGACTCCAAGTCAGACTACCCCAAGAGGCAAAAATAACATTTCCCGAGGCCTATAACATTTAATTCATTCAGAGAATGGAAGCAAGGTCTGAATCATTCCATTCCAACATGGTAAATATTTCATTGAAACAACTATTACTATAGAAGCCTAGGCATTTGTTGTCTCCATCAAAGTAACTTTGCTGCAATAATGCGGCACATATGACATAAACAAGGATAAATCTGAGGGGACAATCCTGGCTTTAATGTTTTGCTGCTCTGCTTTGTTTTGTTTTTCAGCTGAGCACATTACAAATACCCTAAGGTCCTTCTAAAAATATTTCTGCTTAAGTATCCATTAAAAGAAACCTACAGTGTTTTTTTTTCTTTCTCAGAATGAACTGAAAAAAGCTTGCCTTAAATCTCTCTCCCTCTTTTTTTATTTTTTAAATTAAGTGGATATTACTTTATGGGTGTGGTTTTATAGGAACATGTTATGACAGTCATGATGCTCCTCACAAATGGAAATACTACTAGTGCATTCATTATAATCCATTGAGGTTAGAAATAAATATATTTCTCATTAAATGCATTGAGTAAGAAGTGCTGACTGGGGGAAAACATGGTCAAGCTCCAAAAAATGTCACAGGCAAATGGGATGCCTTTGTGATCAAAGTAAAAATGCAAGAGAAAAAAAAAAAAGGGTGTGTGTGTGTGTATATTTAATGAGCTTATTTGCCTCCCCTATTATTTTAAGCCAAATGTTTACCTGAAATTTATAGCGCATTAGCTGATGACAATAAAAACATGAGTTTATTTTAACTAAGATCATGTTTAAGTATGACGAGTTTAAAAATAAAGCATTTATGCAATTTTATCCCCTTGGGACAGAGTACTTTTCCTTTTATACATTTCTTTTTATAATGCTGACCACACAATGTTTGGACTAGTACATCCCTCGGGAAAAGAGCAGAAGCACAGGGATGAATGAAACATTCATTAGCCCCAGGGGGTTAATTTGTGGCTAAATAATAGATTTTCCTTCTTCTCAGCACATTCCATAGTTCGTTGGTAAACTGAGTAAAAATTTTACTCAAATTTCGCATAACTAAAAAAGTTTCTCGGCCTTTAAAAAAATTATTTATGGACTGATTTTTTTTATTTACATATGGCAATAATACAAATTCTCAAAGCAGATGTCACATACAACTTAGTAGCCAAATGTATCTTTGTACCTTTTAATGGGGTCTCTCAGAGTTTAAAAGTACATTAAGTAAAACAGAGTTCACATTTCAAGTATTTTCTATCAGCCAACAAAACCACCTCTGAAAGCTTTCCAGCATTGAATCCTCCTATACAAATGATAAATCAAGCTTTTGAAATGGTAAATTCCGAGTGGTACCAGTAGCATAGAATTGTTCTTGCTGGTGCCTCCAGAAAAAGAATCCATTACCTGCCCTCGCCAAACTGCTTCTAAGATTCTCACAGGATAGCTCCACTGGCTGTAATCTTAGCTTTAACGCCCCTGCAAAGAACAGATCAAGACCCCAAAGATGGAAAGAAAACCAGGCTACATCCACACCGTTTTTACAGGAGAGAGTTCTTTTTTTTTTTTTTTTTTAATGTTTTATTTATTTCTAGGACAGAGAGAGAGACAGCGTGAGCAGGGGAGGATCAGGGAGAGAGGGAGTCACAGACTCTGAAACAGGCTCCAGGCTCTGGGCTGGCAGTCAGCACAGAGCCCGATGCGGGGCTCGAACCCACGAACCGCAAGATCATGACCTAAGCGAAAGTCAGACGCTTAACCGACTAAGCCACCCACGTGCCCCTACAGGAGAGAGTTCTTGCTGCTGCCCCAGAGAAGAATATAGTCCTTTAATTAATTTCTCCATTCTTCACAAAAGTGCTAGTTCCTTCCTGAATGAAATAGCTTTTTGGTGAGTGATTTGTTATCAAAAATGGGGAGTATAGAAAATGTGAGGCAGTGATATTGTTAACATTTTCATCAATAGTCTAACATTATCATTTGTTCATTTATTCTTTCAATATTTAGAGTAACTACTGTGCCTCTTTTCTAGGAACTGAGGATACACCCAGATTTCTTTAAAAATTCTTGCTCTTTTGAAATTTGTATTCTAGCAGGTGGAAACAAATACACACAAGAACTTTATTTGGTTCTGTCAGAAGGTGAGTGCTTGCGGGAAGTGAAGGCTTAGTCTCTCCCTGTCCTCATACCTGATCAATCTGCCATTTTCCACATAGTACTGCACGCGGAAGTGAATGATCATAGGAGGACCAAATTGGTCAATACCCTAAAACAAAGACACACATAAAAAGAAAGCTATTTTTAGTAACTGTAAAATGGAGTTTAAAAGCAACAAAATACCATTACTTACAAGGTACTTTTTAAACCTTGAAAGGTTTTATCTACTTCTAATGGGGGTTGGGTGATATAGTGGTGGCTAGTGAAAAGTAGTCAGTTGTCCATTATGGATATCAAGTTCATGCAAAACTGGGAAGTTATAAAGCATCATCATATATCTGATACTCAGATATCACTGTAAGGCCAATGACAACATAAGGGAAGATAAAAATAAATGCCAGTGGAAATTTCTAGTTGAGATCCAGCTCCTCTCTCAGCACTATCCCCTGTGGTGACCATTTGCTCCTCATTACAAATGTTCTCTTGTTCCTCTGACATTCCACATACCAAATTCTAATATGATGTTTGTTTATTTAGACTTTAACGTTCCTTACTTTGTAGTTGGCTTTCAAATAGCCTTCCCCGTTTATTCCAAGAATTCTTAAATACAAATTGGAGGATCTAGGATTAGCCACTGGGGACTTATTCCTGATTAATACGGTGATCCTGGAAATACTAGGTAAATTCCCTGTGAAATGATGTCCCATGTAAATGGAATTGATGTTTACTAAATAAAGGCACCAGTACAATAAAGTAATAAAGTATCAAAGGTAAGTACAGTAAAAGTAGATTTAAAAATTAAGAATAACTTCTAGAACATTAAGTTTGACGGCTAACACAGCCACAGAAGAGAAGCAAGTTCTTTTTCCATGGTGTTCATTTCAAAGCATTATCCCCAAATTACTAAACAGTCATTATCCAACATGATTTAAGCAGATATCTGAAATCTATCATTATACGCTATAAGCTATTAATACTTTATTAATGGGACATTTTAGAACTTACACATTCATTTCCCTTTTCCATTCTCTACTTCATAATGTTTTTATGAATTAAAACTTAAAAATTAAATGTTTCTAATGTATAATAGCTAAAATAAACCTTTTAAAAAAATCAAAATAGTTTTGCTCATAAATGTAATCTCACCCAAGTGACTTCGTATTGTCGTACCTTGCTGGCCTCTTTCTTCCATTCTTTTGGACAATATTTATACAGCTTTTGTGACAATTCCATATAGACATGTTCATTATCTGCACATTAAGAGAAGGAGGCAAGATGATAAAGAAAAGATAATTTTTTTAAAGAAAATATACACAAAACCAAGTTTCTTTTTAAAAAGCTTCATGATTTGTGAAGGTGCTCTGAATTCACATACAAATGCGAACACTCAACAAGATATTAAAAGACAAAAAATTGGCTAGACATTAATGAGATTCTTATAAACTATTTTGTGTTTGCAATACAGAACACATCCTATTAAAAATATGTAGTATTTAGAAGAATACTAGCTTCCACATCCTGCTTTTACTAAGTTTCTATGGTCCACCCTAATGCATAGTCAAACTTCCAACATTGGCCTTACTTGGAGAGAAACATGCTTTTGCTTAGCTCACAGAGGACTCCTGTCCTAGGTACAGAATAATGAAACAGGGCAGAAACACCATCCTAACTGCTATATAAGAAATGAGATAACATTGAGGATAACTGCCTATTTCCAAGTGATGGGCCTGACCCACACTTTGTGAAGAACAGTCTTTAAGACAATTCCTTCTCTGTGTTCTCCACATAAAACACGGCCTGATAAAAATGGTAAGCCATCACTTGTACTGCCTCTGGACTGATCCCATGGAAAGATGACAAGAAGCTCCTGCAAAAAAAAAAAAAAATGCTGAAGTAGTTCTTCAAGGAGATGATGTTCCTAAGATGAACAGAAACCATGATTGCTAAAAAACCCATGTAAAAATGATCTAAATATATGAAGACAAGCTGGTAAAAAAAATATTAAAATTTTCAGATGTTCCCAAGAGAAATCTTTCAAAAGAGACAGATTTCACAACAGAAGCTTTCAGCATTCCTGCCTTGTACAAAGTTGTAAATCTTTTTAAAACAGGCAGTGTCTCTAGCCATTACTAAGGCAGTGTCCTCGTGCAAAGCTCTGCATTCTGGAAGGGAAGGGTGTCTCTTTGACTTCTCCAAGGATAACAGGCCTGACCACCCTGTCACTCCTGACTTAAGGCTGGGGAAGTTTGCTTGAAAAAGAGTCATAAGAGAGGAGGAAGGGTAGAGCTACTCTATAAATGGCATATTAAGCCAGCCAATTTGAATGAAAGGGATAAGAGGTCCCAGAGACCAAAAACAAAAACAAAAACAAACAAAAAAACCCCTAAAGGATGCTACTTAAATCCACTTATCAGATCAGCTAAATTATCTCCCATCTCTTATATGCTACCAATTAAACATGAAGTGAACAAGACCAGACAACCTTCCTGTTGAATATGATTTGTGTTTGGCTTGAGTTTCCATCTGAAGAAGCAACATAATGAACAGAATGGAGACTGTTCACCGTAACGGTACATATTTTTAAACTACCACCATCTGACAGTCTGATCGTGGCTTTACATTTTAAGAATTCTAAAGCATATATCAAAATTCTGCAAAGCGGGTAAAGTAATCTCCAGCTGACACGTGAGAAAACTGAAGTCAAGAGAAGACAAGTAACGTTTCTAAAGCTGCAACAGCTAACTAGTGGTAGAACTAGAATTAGAACAGGGTCATCTGTGTACCTTTCCAGTGTTCTTTTGCCACACTACAGTCTCTCTTTTAAAAAAGAGATCTTCAAACTTAGTATTTTGAAATCTAAGGAAGCCGAAAACTAGTTTTATGAGACTGACTTATTGAGCAACACAGATCAACAGTCTGGCAGTCATTGTAGTAAGAAAGAATTAATTTTGGGTTTCAAAGAAAGGAAACCTATTCTAGAAGCTATAGGGCATCTTATTTCACCCAGATCCTTCCTTGAAAGAATGACTGAGGGATGAACTAATAGAAGGATGTAGCTAAGCATTTGTGTTTTTACTGCTTTAACTACTACAGGGAAAAACTGAAGAGCAAGTGGTTGATTCATTGGTTCCTGAGGCGTTCCCTGCTCCATGCTCTCTGGCTTCTCCTAAAAAGACAGCTGAAAATGGTACATATTTTGGAGGAGAAGGGCTGATCATGATACACTTTCCAACTTGGCAGATCTAAGCTTTTTTGGTACTAACCAGATTCTCAAGATGTCATGAGGCTTTAAATTTAAACCGATTCCAGTAGTAGAATATGATTCATCTACAAGTATAAAATGTAATTAAATGTATTTCACAAAAAAAGTATTCTTGAAAAACAGAGTAAAGATAGAAAAGGTTTTGTGCATCAGACTAAATTAGAAAAATTTTTAAATATGACTTGAAAGAAAAAGTTTGTAAGGAATGGCTGCAGGTAAATCCTGGGAACTCAACTCTAAGGAATTACAGGAGTGGGTAGTGGAGGAGGCTTATACAGAGCCCTTTATGTGAAGAAAGCCTTCACATAAAGTATACGGGAAGAAACTGATCCCCTATCTCCAAGTCATATAGTCTAACTGGAAAAAAGAGAAGGTGTTAAGAGGAAAAACAGGAAATAAGAGCAAATTAATAGATCACTTTGTTATACTATATGGTCAACAGCAAGAAAACCTGAATAAAGTCATTTTTCTTATGCCTAAGTTTTTTAATGTCAAAAATCATAAAACAAATGACAAAAATATGCAAAATAATTTACTACTAGCTCCAGCTGTTCCCTGAGTGCAAGGAAGCAAAAATCAAGCTTGGTTCATTAACACAGAAAAGAACAAACACAAAATCTAGACTCCTAAAAAGGAACCGATTTTTAAGTTCAAACTATAATACATGGCCTAAAATTCTAAATCTTGTAAGAAATTCACAATAGTTAAGATCAAAAAAATGAATAGGAGACTAAAAATAATGACCAATTTATGGGTATTTTGACAATCACAATCTTATCACAATATGCCCAAATTAAGTTACAACCAGCTATAAAATATCATCCTCAGTGATAGTTGGCTAAATCTATCAGAGATGGGACTAAGACCTACTTTGTATCACACTGAGTCCAAAGAGGTGACAGTCTTTTAGCCTGAGTAGGTCACACACCTGGACCAGCAACTGGTGACACAGAATTTTAACCTGTAGAGAAAAACAAACAAGCAAACAAAAAAACACAAGTTGAGACAAGTCACCCAAGCCCAAATACTGAGCTGCAATCAGGCAATTTAATACACCCAAATTATATACACCTTGAAAGGAAAAGGTGACACTAGCAAAACCACTGTTGGTTCATGGAAATTGCTTTAGTCTGCATTGTTTCAATAATGATTATCACACTGATAATACGAATTTTTACAACATGGTAATAAAGTACCAATGCAATCTTGTACAAGACTCATAAATCTTATGACATGTTGATAAGGCCTTAATTCTAAAACCATGGTGCACGACAAATATTTCTTTCATAAGGTACCGAAACAGCTTACTCAGATTATCCGAAGCATGAATTAGGTAGGTATCTTTACGGGGAAAGTTATCTTCCTGATGGTCTAAGCAAAATACTTAGATACCATTACAATGAGTGAGTGAATAACTAGCTTTTATTTATCTTACTTTTATTGTCTTATATCTTTTAAGTACCTAAACAAGGGTCCTTTCTGAGTCCTAGTATAATTCAAACATAAAAAAATCATATTAATTTGGAACTCTGTGAATAGATTATTCTGAAAAGTCACATGTTGAAATAATAATATGGTCTTTAAAAGACTCAGTTTTAATAATTTCTCAAATATTTAATGAAGTATTTTGGGGGATAGTAATTCTGCTGGGTCTGCCTCATTGAATTCAGAATCACTAAAGCTTGGAGCTGACTTGAAGAGATCCTACGGTCATGGTCAGTTTCTTCATGTTACAGAAGTAGAAACTACAACCCACAGAGGCACCAGGGTGGCTCAGTCGGTTAAGTGTCCAACTCCTGATTTTAGCTCAGGTCATGATCTCATGGTTCGTGAGTTAAAGCCCCATATCAGGCTCTGTGCTGACAGTGCACAACCTGCTTAATATTTTCTCTCTTCCGTCTTTCTCTGCTCCTACCCTGCTCATGTTCTCTCTATCAAAAAGAAAGGAAGGAAGGAAGGAAAGAAAGAAAGAAAGACAACCCACAAAGCTTAAGATCATATAAGCTAGTAATGGCAAAGGCAGCGACTCACAGCTTTGCTCATTTAAGTATTAAAACAGTTTTAAATGTGTATATTAAAATATACACAACATGACAGTTTATCATTTCAGATATATATATATATATATATATATTATGTGTGACATTTGTCCCTCACTTGTACTACACTTGTACTGATACTGATGCCTCTTGCAGTTTTAATTATAAACTCTAAATTAGCTCTGAATTCATACCTTAATATGTGACTCAGGTTCAGAAAATAAAAATATGCTAAGACCCCTTGATAACTGAAAGCCAAACAATGCAGAATGGTGATAATTCCAACTGAAGGAAGAAAAATAGGTTTACTGCTCTTTCCATATTATTAAATGGCAACTAACCTGAAGCACCTTATCCAACAGAAAGAGCAAAAGGTACTTCTTTAAGACCAGAATAACACCAATTCTGCACTTAGAAGCACCAGGAAGTCAATGAAGCTGGAATAGTGTCTTATTTTATATTCAGGATATACAGATGGCCCTTATTAAATGTCTGAAGAATAAAAGCTGGTGTCTGATACCCATTTGGGCCCCTCACCTTTGTACTGTTCCATGACTATGGACTAGTCTCTCGCCCACTGAGTATATCATTCTATAAATGTGCCATTCAAGAATTTAGGGAAAATGAAGCACTGCAAACCCACAAATACCATTAGGAGAATACGTTTGCCAATAGAAAATCATCATCCTCTTCGTTCATTAAAAAGACTGTGAATTTCTGAGTTCTGTATTACCATAATTCTACTTTACAAATAAGCTTAAGCACCATGATAAAGTAAAGGGAAATCTATCAAATGTTGTATAAAGTCGAAATATATACTGCAAATTTGAGACTTAAAAGGTCATCTATCTAGATCACCTTTAATCCTTAGTTTTTACTGTATTTTAAAAGGTTATAAACAAAGCACTTGGGATAAAATGTGATAAAAGTTAACAGAAAAATTCCAAACCACAAACTATACATAAAACAAACCAATTTGTAACTATGTATAACTTGTTCAAATAATGCTGTACATTTCTTCCATATATCCCATATACTTATTATTGTTCTGCTAGTTTAAATCAAGTATTTGGGGCCTACTGTTAAAATTCTGTAACAACTATCGAGTAAGTAGTGTTCTTGCTTGAAACTGTGGCTCTGAAGTCTTACCTGCTGTGAAAAAAAAAACTTGAGTTTTTTGTATTTGCATATTATGAGTCTGTAAGTCTACATTTTAGCTAATTGTGAAATTTCTCAAGTTCTTTAAACTTCAGGAGCAATGGAGCTTTAAAAAGTGCTATAGAGTATGAAGTATTAAGAATAAGAATTAAAATATTATCTAAAAATATACTCTTTAGGGACTTTTTTAATAAAAAAAAAAAAAAATTGGTCCTAAAGTTCAATGGTTATTGAGCAAGCACATTTAAAATATATTCCAGGAAAAAAGAATTGTTTGCCTTCGTTTTAGTGAACAAGTATAAGCTCTTGGCCACTATTTATATCACTCAACAATGTTGTGGCTCTTACATTTACCATAATTTTATTTCCAAAATTTTCCAAGTTTCCATATTTAGTATTTATCTAATGATTAAAATCATTTAAAAGAGTCCCTACTAGTTTAAACTCAGGGAGAAACTAGAGCGATCAGACACTAAATATACCTCACACATAGAAAGACAATATTCTATCAACTACACATTAAGAAATGATGATTTGGTTATAGTTAATTTGTTATGTTACAACCCTACAACACAATTGCTATTATATGAATACAGAGATAACACTGTGTAGGAAAAGCTACCTCTGGCAGTCCTGCATTGGTTTTCCAGCAACGAGGGGCCTCCATACTACGTAACTCAGTCCCTCCTCTCTCTCCTCCTCCCTCCTTTGTTCAACAGTTGGCTAGAGAAGAGTCTGGACATGGCAGGGGAGTCTACATATCCTGGAACAAGAAAATCTCACAGGCCTACAGGGGGTTTACACACTCTATTTGAGTTTCATTAACAGAGCTTCCAAATGAAATGGACAAGCATAGCCCAAAGAAATTAAAACAAGTGCTCCTCTATTAAGTGCCAATTTACTGAGCAATGCCCAGCTGCCATGTGCTACAATTGACAATTTATTCATGTTCTATCTTTGAATCTTCACAATGACCCTGATGAGGACAGTAAGATGATCTCTACTATAGATAAGGAAACTGAAGCAAAAACCTAACTTGCCCAAGGCTGCAGAGTAGGTCAAGGTGTAGGGATTTCAACTTAGGTCCCTGTGACTCTAAAACCCTCCTTAATGATGATGATGTTTGGCTGCACAATTCATGATCATGGTCCTGGCCCATCCTGTAGGGATATTACACTAATGTTACAAAATAAGGAGACCGAAGACATGCGAACTGAATCTCTGATGAGGAATTAAAATAATAATAGCAGCTAATATGTAAGTGTTGGGAACGATGCTATACACTAACAATATACACAATCACATAGTATGACTGTACCATAGGTGTTATTCATAATTATCTTCCTTAGCTGAGATTTCAGTACAAATTAATTTCTTTGAAAATTATAGCCAGCTTTCAGTATTTCTCATGAAGTCAGATTAGTCTTCCTTCCACTTACCTGAGGTCAGTAAAGGTTTTGTTCCATATCCTGTATGTGCGCATAGCTGCACACATGAACACATGGATATACAATCTTCTGGGTGGAAACATATAAATGGAACTGAGAGAAGCTTCCTAAAGTGCTTAGGCTATATGCCCTGAATTTTGAATTTTTAAAAATTTAGTACCTCTTTATATAATTGTATATAAAAACTGAAAGAGCATATTCACCTACATAAGTAGAATTACATTTTAACAATTTTGACCTGAATAGCAATGTTGCTGATCAACAGAAATTCTGCTCTACAGATGGAAAAATTCATCCAAGAGGTAGGTTTGATGCTCAGACAATCACTATGAGCAAAAATGAGGTTACATTAGTAAATCAAGAAACTGTAACACTGAGAAACTGGTGGTTGTCAGAATAAACCCAAAATAATTATGGTAATAAGCAGAGTCATTTCCTGGCTAAATTTTGTAATGAAGCTATTTAAATGTCGTATATAGTCAGTATAACATTTAGAAATATTCTTTTATATAGCAATTGGGATAACAAAGAAAGCTAAGGGGTACCTGGGTGGCTCAGTAGGTTAAGCATCTGACTTTGGCTCAGATCATGATCTTGCACTTCGTGAGTTTGAGCCCCACACCGGGCTCTGTGCTGACAGCTCAGAGCCTGGAGCCTGCTTCAGATTCTGTCTCCCTCTCTCTCTGCCTCTCCCCTGCTCACACTCTGCCTCTCTCTCTCTCCCTCAAAAATAAACAAACATTAAAAAAAGAAAAAGAAAACTAATTTAAGGCACTGCATGTAGACCATTTTTTTTGCCTAATTCCATCTAACAGAATCAGTAAAAGGAAGAATATGAAAGTCGATAACAGGGAGAGGGGCTGAAAAGTGCTAGGCATGGTTCTGATCACCATAAAACTGTTCGGCAGTGGCTACCAAAGCTAAACACAGATATACTTTATGATTCACAACTCTGCTCTTAGGTGAGGGTCAGAAGTGTATACACTTAAAATGCTCTTAACACTTTTACTCCTAATAGCCCAATACTTACAACAGCCTAATATCTATGGACAATAAATGGATAAACAAATTGGGCATATTCACACAAAGGAATATTATACAACAATGAAAAAGAATTAGTGTTACATGCAATGGGATAAATGAATTTCATAGGCCAACGTTGACTGAAAGAAGCTAGATAAAAAAGAAAACACACCATGTAATTCCAGGTGTGTGAAGTTCAGAAATAAGCAAATTACTCTCTAGAGGAGGGAATATGTATTACCCTTTGGGTAGAGATTACTGACAAGGAGGAGTCACAAAAGATGTTTTCAGGTACTGGAAATACACCATATCTCAAGCTGGATGATGGTTACATGGGTGTATACACTCGTAAAAATTCTCTGAGCTGCATGCTTATGATGCCTATGCTTTGCTGTATGTGGATAACTCAATTTTAGAAGTTAAGAAAAACAGTACCAATATTCCTCAATGTCCAGGTCAATTAAGACAGTTACCCTTGACTCATGACCCATAAGCAACAGCTTAGTGCTCAAGTGCACAGCCTATTCTTTTTTTTTTTTTAAATGTTTTATTTATTTCTAGGAGACAGAGAGAGAGACAGCATGAGCAGGGGAGGGTCAGAGAGAGAGGGAGTCACAGACTGAAACAGGCTCCAGGCTCTGAGCAGGCAGTCAGCACAGAGCCCGACACGGGACTCAAACCCACGAACCGTGAGATCATGACCTAAGCGAAAGTCGGACGCTTAACCAACTAAGCCACCCAGGAACCCCGTGCACAGCCTATTCTTAAAATTGGCTAGACTTAGGCTAGGATTAATGACCAAGATGCATATTAAGAAGCTAGCCATTATTACTGTATCATGTGTGTCACAACTCAAAAACACTCAAAAAGCAAATCATATTATATATGAATAAAAATCTAGATCTCAATATACAGTTTTTTAAAATAGCAAGGTGTTTGCTTTTCTATAATATAGTAACCACAGTTCAGTAATTTCATCCCAGGTGAAAGAATGTTGAAGGCAGCTGCTCTGAAGCCATAATTCAAAGTCTGTACCTGTGTAGACAATGTTCACCCCCCAATTCTGCCACATTATTAATGGCCTCATTCTGTAACGCTCTCACTCTTCACCAGGTAGTAACTTGGATGTGGCCACCGGTTGGGAACAGGATATTCGAACACTTCTAAAGTCGGATCTACTTACATTTATGATGATGTTCAGAGATTCATCATTGGGAAGGAAAATACACACACTCCGGCGGTCTTGCATGACTCTGTTGTTATGGAAATTCAATTTGTTCATTGTGTTGTGGGCTCTCTAGTGGTCAGGGCTGGGCTCCGAGTCCTCGGCAATTCCTCTGGTTCCGAGCACTCCAAAGCCAAACTCCGCTCCTCATCACACGCCCTACAGGAGAAGCAGCATGATGTCCCACTACGTAGGTTTCATAGCTGTAAAAAAGCCCAAAAGCCAGCCATAAATGAAGGCGGAGAGATTGGTGAGGAGACAAACAGGGACATGAGCAGCAGCACAACTGTCTCTGTTGGCACAGGGACAGCACGCCTCCATGCGAGGGCTGCCTGGTTTAATAAATGAGAACTCACTGAAATGTAATCTGTATTTTGCCCACTATCAACTGTTTTTAAAACTTTCATTCACAGTCATGAACTAAACATAGAGCCAATGAGAGCGTCCTACATTCGAGGCGGTGCCGTGCACTGCAGGGCTCGCAGAAGCAGAGAGAGAGAGCCTGCCTCTGAGAAGTTTCCGGTCTCGCGTGGGAGACAACACCAAGGCTTCCATAAACAAACAAAATGACAACCAGCAACAACATTCTCAATCTTTTTTTCCATTACAAACTCAAATAAACGTCTTGGCTCTTACATTACATTCCTCCTTTAACTACTGTGGCCTGGCTTTCACTTCCTTCACTTCACCAACATGGCTCTGCCGAAGGAAGCCAGTGACCTCCAGACCACCGGCAGGATCTGCGGGATTCACTTCAACGGATCTCTCTTAACTTACCAAGGTTAAGCCCTCCTTATAACTTTTTTTCCTCCCTTAGTTTTTATGGTGCTGCTCTCTCTCCTTATCCTTTAACCAGACAATGCAAACAATTCTTCTGTTTTTTTTTTTCCACCGACCAATTAATACACAGAAATAACAAAACTGTATATATCAAACTGTGTTTGTATACAAAAGAACAGTGAATTTTGTAAATACCCTCTCATAACTATTCAGTTTATTAAACACATTATTTTTTAATTTCTCTCAGGTTTTCAATATATACAACTTCCTTTGCAAGTAATGAAAATTTTTATTTCCGGTCTTCCACACTCACACCCTTTGTTTCATGTCTTATTGCATTGGCAAGATTTTGCAGAATCATTTTAAAACAGTGGGGGATATGTTCTACTTTTAATGGGTGTGTCTACTTTTTCATATATTATTGCTAATATAACACTATTCAACCAAGATAGGTTAAGACTAGTTGCCTCTCAAACAAACAGTAATTATTTTTCTCCAGTAGTATTTTTATTGTCTCTTTCCAGCTGTATTTGTAGGATGCAGAAGAGAATTTCCAGAATACAGAACTGTTTTACCAGAGAGTATAACTAAATTTTTAATTTAAATTTTACTTATTTAACATATAGTGCAATATTGGCTTCAGGAGTAGAATTCAGTGATTCTTCACTTAACCTTCAACAGCCAGTGCTCATCACAAGTGCCCTCCTTAATACCCATCACCCATCGAGCCCATCTCTCACCCACCTCCCTCCATCAACCCTCTACTATTAAGAATTTCTTGGGGTTTGTTTCCCTCTCTCCTCTTCCCTACCCCCCTTTTCATATGTTCATCTGTTTTGTTTCTTAAATTTCACATGAGTCAAATCATATGGTATTTGTCTTCCTCTGATTGACTTATTTTGCTTAACATAATACATTCCAGCTCCATCGACGTCATTGCAAATGGCAAGAGTTCATTCTTTTTGATGGTTGAGTAATACATACACACACACACACACACACACACACACACACACCCCACATCTTTATCCATTCATCAGTTGATGGACATTTGGGCTTTCTCCATAGTTTGGCTATTGTTGATGATGCTGTTGAAAACCTTGGGGTATATGTACCCCTGTGAATCTTTTTGTATTCTTTGGGTAAATACCAAGTAGTACAATTGCTGGATTGTAGTGCAATATTATTTTTAGTTTTTTGAGGAAGCTCTATACTGTTCTTCAGAGTGGCTGCACCAGTTTGCATTCACACCAAAAATGCAATACAGTTCCCCTTTCTCTGCATCCTCACCAACATCTGCTGTTTCTTGTGTTAATTTTAGTCATTCTGACAGGTGTGAGGGGGTTTTGATTTGTATTTCCCTAATGATGAGTGATGTTGAGCATCTTTTCATGTATCGGCTGGCCATCTGGATGTCTTCTTTGGAGAAGTTTCTATTCATGTCTTCTGCCCATTTCTTAACTGGATTATTTGGGGTGTTTTGGGTGTTGAGTTTGCTAAGTTATTTATAGATTTTGGATACTAGCCCTTTATCAGGTATGTCATTTTCAAATATCTTATCCCACTCCATAGGATGCCTTTTAATTTTGTTGACTGTCTCCTTCTCTGTGCAGAAGCTTTTTACCTTGACGAAGTCCCAATAGTTCACGTTTATTTTTCTTTCCCTTGCCTCCAGCAATGTGTCTATTAAGAAGCTGCTCTGGCCAAGGTCAAAGAGGTTGCTGCCTGTGTTCTCCTCTGGGATTTTGATGATTCACATTTAGATCATTCATCCATTTTTAATTTATTTTTGTGTATGGCATAAGAAAATGGTCCAATTTCATTCTTCTGCACGTCACCATCTAGTTTTCCCAACACTATTTGAAGAGGCTGTCTTTTTTCCATTGGATACTCTTTCCTGCTTTGTCAAAGATTAGTTGATCATATAGCTGTGGGTCCATTTCTGGGTTTTCTATTCTGTTCCACTGTATCTATGTGTCTGATTTTGTGCCAGTACCATACTGTCTTGATGACTACAGCTTTGTAATATAGCTTGAAATCCAGAACTGTGATGCCTCCAGTTTTGTTTGGCATTTTCAGGATTGCTTTGCTATTCATGGCTCCATACAGATTTTAGAATTTTTTGTTCTAGTTCTGCAAAATGTGCTGTTGGTTTTGAAAAGGACTGAATTAAATGTGTAGATTGGTTTGGGTAGTATAGACATTTTAACAATGTTTGTTCTTCCAATCCATGAGCATGGAATGCTCTTCCATTTCTTTGTGTCCTCTTCAATTTCCTTAGGCATAAGTATTCTATAGCTTTCCGAGTACATAACCACACAGTTCTAACAGAAAAGCTACTGTCAGTGCTCACATAAATCAAAGCATAAATGAGATATAATCTGGTCTATTTGCTTAAGGTTAAATGTCCATCTGTTATTGGCAGGAAGATGGGAGAGAATATAATCTTACATGGCTATGAGTAAATATAAACTAGAATTTCTTTTTAAAGTATGAATAAAATGTCACCAATAAGGGAGCTACTCAAATTAAGTAACAACAGATGGTAATCTTACATATATTATTTCCTTATTACCAAGGGGACCAAAAGCCCCCTTACAAGTATTCTGCATTTCTTAAAAGATAATACCAATTGTTTCACATTAAGATTATAGCCAGCACATCATCCTATAGGATCACTGGAGGTCAACACTGAAGTTTATTGCCAGTATGGGATGGTTAGCCCCTGTGTTATATGACCACAAACTAAGTGTACCCCAAATCCAACCACTGATCTGACAAATGCGTACTTTTAGTTCAATAGTTCCAAAGCACCAATTGGAAGACCCACTTTGGCTGCATCAGAATCACCTGAGTATCTGTAATCAATACGGAATCCTGAGCACAGTTACATTTCTACTCACTCAGAATCTCCCAGGTCAGGACTCAGGAATCTTAATCTTTTAAAAAAGCTCCCAGGTATTTCTGACACATAGTCACGTATAAAAACCATACTTGAGTTAACATAAGGAAGGTACTGAGCAAACAGTTGAATATAAGACTTTCACAGTGTACACTGGGAAAACGTCAAGAGGTACAAAATGGGGAATAAGCAACATATGAGGACTTTTCAGAAGTCAAATAAATTTTTCAAAGGTATAAATAAATTCCTAAAACAGGTCAAATTTGTGTACCAGAACACTTTCCTGAAAAGTGTTACTAGGTGACCTAGGGATAAATAAGTTGGGGAAACAGGGGGCTCTATATATACCTTCTCTGAAAGTGTTAAAGGCTCTGAGGAGTACTGCAGGCAACTGCTTAAATTTGTTTAACTTAATATTTCTCAAACTTGGTCACAGAATACTTCCCCCTCCTCTAAGACTTACCTATTAAGGTCCTATAGAATAATATCCTTAAACATACTATTTGAGAAATATGGTTGTAAAGCAATTTCCTTGTCAATTTCATGGCAATTTTTTTTCCTATGTATTGATCTATTCTAATACTTAGGTCTCCTCTCTGCTATTAAAATCTTTCCAAGAAGAAATTCTAAGCTATGATTAAATGCATCTTATTTAAATGCAAACCCTTAAGTGATACTAATCCCAATGTAATTCTTCTTATTTAAATCTACATTTCAAATTGAGTTATTCCTATAATTTTCCATTCCTAATTAAACCAATTAAAAGGGGGGTATTGCTACTAACTTACTTTCAAGAATTTAAAAAATAAACTAAGGAAAAAATATCTTCTGAGGTTTGAGATGTTTCCAGAGCTTCATTAAAATAATTTTCAAATTTCATTTGACTACAATTTTTACTTATTTTATGATTCAAATAATGTATTAAAAAAAGATTAGAGGAGGATTATTGAAGAAAGTTAATGAAAAGCAGAGTATTTAAGAAGCAGCACTCCCTCATTGCTGCCTTTTCTGCTTTGAGGATGGCAAACTAAAAAGTCCTAAAAGAGAGATAGGATTCAGTTTTTACTTTACCCAGGACTGCATTAAAGCTGATTAAAAGATTCCAGTGAAAAAGCAAAATGCCTGTATCTCTAAAAGGCTCCAGTGTAAAATTTAATCTTAAATTGGACAGTCCTCTAGGGAAAAGAATTAGACTAAATTTATACCAGTTTGAGCTGTAGAAATTACCTCTGAGCCATTGGCTACCTCTGCTGTGTCCTCAGCTAAGTCCCAACTTGGACCCGGGAGGGTACACTTCCTACTCTGGGCAGCCCTTTTCTGTCCAGTGATCTTAGGATAGATTATTGAACACACCATGTTGTAGGATCAGATATTCCAGGCAACAAAAAATTACCTTTAATAATCATCAAGCTTCATCCTATCATCTTTATTAATACCCAACTCACAAATAAAATATGTTAAGCTATTAGATTCCCTCACTTGAATTTTAAATCCACGTTATTATAAGTGCCTTATTTTCTG